TTCCAACTCATAGTCACCCTACAGGACAGAGCAGAACTGCCCCCTGGGGCTTCCAGTGCTGTCAATCTCTACAAAAGCAGGCGGTCAGAGCCTTCTGACAGCAACTGGCAGGTTCCAACCACCAGTCTCTGGTGAGCAGCCATGCACTTGAACCAGCGTAGACATGTACGTGAGCACCTTCATGTGTATGTTGAGAGAGACCACGTGACAAAGCAACGGGGCCGACTGCTAACAAGAGAGCCGGAGTCAAGAGTATCTGGGGGCATCTTTTGTTCTGTTTTCATTTTTGCAATTTCTCGGTATAAGTTTGAAATTATTTCCAAATAAAAATGTATTTTTTAAATTAATGCCTTAGCTCTTTGACCCAAAACTTTAGTATTCAATAATATTTTATTTAAGGAAGGACAGATGGGTGCAGTGAATTTTAGAAAAGGCTCAAGTTAAAAGACTTCAGATGTGAAGTTTTGATATTTAAAAGATTCATCTTTGGTTCACTTCAAAATTCATTTTTATGGAGCTCTCCATTCTTCTAAATGCACTGTAGGAATGGGATGTGATTACAAAAAACCTCCTCCATCTGCTAGCAGAACTTGGTAGAATGAGGTAAGCAAAGGTCGCCTCCATACAGACACTGCAGGACAGTGTCCTAAAGTTTAGTGTCCTAAAGTTTCATTCCGATCAGGATCAATTCTACAGTGTAGGGTTCTCACCTTATCTCTACCCTCAGGTGACATTTTCAACCAGCCTTCTCCAGTACACAGTGGTGGCAACCAAGTGACCGCTACGATGTCACCTGCACCTGGCATGCTACACACCCAACACCTCAGGCCAACAGCTTCACCTCAGCACTCACTGAAATCACTTGGGTCTCCCCAGGTTTGTCCAGATTCTCGAAAACGGCCTCTTGTTTGTCAGCTCGGACTTCAATGAGGTTTTGCTTGTAGTTGATGGTGAGGTCCCTCTCCCGGATGATCTCCAGCAGGGCATCTGCATACTTCTTCACCCCAAAAATGGCTCCAAGAGAAGTGTTGAACATGATATTGGCCTTGGGTCTCTTCCCTGTCTGAAGAGAGACAAAAAAAAAAGGAAAAATATATACAACAAACATTCCCATCACCTTTTTAAAAAGCTCGACAGGATCCACACCCTCAGAAGAACTCTTACCAGCTTTTTCCCCCACTATACCCTGATAGGGTGATGTGTAGACCAATCCACCACCACCCCATTTTCTGGTAGCAACACATGAACCAGGCAGACACTTGAGCCTAGAGTTGAGCTGGGCATTGTTGAACTAAAGGCTAGAGGTGGATATCAATTTCAGCTATCAAAAATGTCAAGAAGGATAAAACTGAACTGTTTATTCAGACATTTCCTTGATACATTCCCTATTTAACATGGTTGCGGTTCAGCTGTAGAACCTCCCTCCATGCAGACTTCTCACCCAGGTTCCCAGCCAAGGCGCCTGATGTAGTGCCACCACTCACCGAGCCGGGGAGGCTTGTGTGTTGATGGGACAGGTGTCAGCAGGGCTTCCAGACGAAGATGAACTAGGAAGAAAGCCTGGCAATCTACTTCCAAAATCTCAGACAAGGAAAACCCTGTGGGGGTGGCACGGGACTGGGCAGCATTTCATTTTGCTATGCATGAGGACGCCAGGAATTGGAGGCCAACTTGGGAGCAGTGAACAATAGTTGGCCAGGTACTATTCCAGGAAAAGCATTGGGACACAATTCCAGACTGCTGACTGTGACAGCCTAGCACTGGGGATTTCCCCCCACATCCCTATGATGTTTTGTCACCTGAAAAAGAAACTTCCTCTGAGGCCACCCAAGACTTAGGAGAAAAGAGCTATCTGCAGAGAATTTCCACGAGGGCAGGAACAGCTGTCTGTTCCTCTTCTCGTCTGTCCAGCTCCCTTTAAGATCTGTTCACCTTGATCTCACCGTTGGCAACCTCTAACGACCCAGAAGAAGCTTCCTTATGACCAGAACAAATTGTTGGAACTGTTCCTTAGTTCCCAGCCCCACAGAAAGGCTGCAGGTTTATATCAGTCAGGGGAAGGAGTGATGTAAACTGACCCCGTGCCATCAAGCACATGGGCAATTCTTCATCTCATCGGCCCCTCTCCTTCTCCCAGCTGTCCCTCC